AAGCATTGTCGTGCAGTTGGGATGTCAAGGATGGACGAATTAATGCCTCTCAATATTATATTATCATTTAATGTTGGAGCAAATTAATTAAAAACAGTATAACCAACAAAAATAAAAATCAATAATTAATTATTTGCATAGTTTTTAAACCCGGTCCAGTAATCGATCCGGGCAGGTCTCCGGATCATCGAGTCACTGGTTCAACTATCAGGTCACAGGGTCAATTGTTGAACCGGATAATTAATTTTAAATTTTTTAAAATTATATATAGAATATTTTTGTCATATAAATATACATAAAAGTAACAAAATTAGATATTTTGTGTATAATATTTGTACATTAAAGTGTTAATAATATGTATCTCATTATAATATTTACCACATAAACATATATACATAGTTTTATTTTAAAAAAAATTAAAAATATATATATATATAGGCGGGTCAACAGCGTTGACCCAGCCGGGTCAATGCCTCGGGTCAAAGTCGAGTTGGCCAGGTTTTGATCTGGTCCTTTGTTGTCTGGTCTAAATAGTCCACCCAAACTGGTTTCGGATTCTGGGTTGACCCGCCCGGCCGGTCCGGGTCAAAAAAACTATGATTATTTGGTGATCTAAATTAGTGATAGTGGCCTGATAGACATGTTCGCATATTTTGCATAAGTATCTTCAATAAAGAGGTGAAATTGCGAATATTTAATTATTGAAAAATAATATGTACAATCATTTATTGGGATTGTACTTACGTCAGGCAACTGAAAATAGAAAAAATTACAGGCCCTACTATAGTTAATTGGGGATTTGCATTGCCTTTATTGGTCATTTAATTAATTTAATTTAATGGTCATACCGACCCTTCAAATAATATCATCTTATTTGAGGAAATTATCATTTGAGATCGAGCAAGTTTAACTAAATTAAGTAGCAAATTTAATGTGTAATAAATTAATTAAGCCTTACGCAAGTATCTTCTTTTTTTTTCCCACTTTTTTCTCTCAAGATAATTTAATTAAGTGAAACTTTAAGAAATTAATTAAACAATAATAAAAACTCAAAGTATAGGTCGTGACATAAAATGTGCAGATGTGATTCATATGTACTATTTTATTCCCATCACAATAACTTGATAAGTAAATTTGGTAAAAGTTAATATGGAATTTTTTATTTTTTTTAGTTTTTATAAAATTTCTATCGTTTGAAAAAAAAAATAAGAAAGATATTTATGTAGTTTTCGTAAAGGCAAATTAACTCTGTATATGCCCCTACGCAAGTTAGTACACGAACGAATATAATAAATAATTTCATGTTTCATTATTTGTCATACTAAGCAAGATCAGAGATCACACACAAAAATCAATTTTACTCGATAAGGTTAAAATTGGCCCGGTCCGATAGAACTCCTAATATCACTAAATATCGATGTATATAATTGGAAAAAAAAAAACGATTCAGAAACCATTAATCAAATCCTTGTTTGTCGAACCCAAATTCGAGTTAAGCTCAAGTCTATATTTTATAAATTCGATGAGGGTAAGTTGTACAAGGGACGAATGTCATCATAAATATAAATAATACCGTAATGTTATGAGAATCTGTTGAAATCCAAAACAAAAATTTACCTTTTTTTTTATTTTTTTTAAGCAAAGTAAGTATAATTTTTTTTTTTTGGTACAAAGGAATGAGGCAAAAGCCTAAAATCGTTAGACAGTTATACACCGCAGGTATGCAATACCAACGAGGTCATGCTGCAGCCACGGTTTAACTGCGGACGGTGGATCTGGGAGCCGTTGATAACCGCTCGTGTACTACATGGAGTGTTGTTTTCTGGTAGTTAGAATATGAATTGCAAGGGATGGATGAGGAAGAATATATAAACCATGGGGTATTTATTAAATGCAGTTGTCCATTGAATTATAGTATGTGTGCGCGTGCATAAGATGAACGACCCTAAAAGGTGAATGAATATTGACTTGGAGAAAATGATTTTACTTGATACGCTTTGAATTTATTGACATAATATTTAGATTGTAAATTCGTGTTTGTACTTTGTACACGATGATCATACATACATATATATATATAGTCTGCATTCATTTATTATAGCTGAAATAATTAAATGGAGAGAGGGAGATAGACTTTTTATCATCAATCCTCAAATATTAAGACAAACCCCCCAATAATATAAATAAATAAATAAAAATTCTATATTGAGTTAGATAGGTGAATTACCCACTATATTTTTAAATAACCAAAAAAAAAAAGTAAAAAATTGCAAATTTGAATTAGAACTAATTTGGTGCCGAATTGTCGGGCAGGTTTCGGTTTGAAACCATAACCGACGGTTCTATTTTTTAAAAACATTAACCGAAATCAAACCTAACCGATAAACGACAGATGAATACACGAACTGTGGTCAACGGTCCGGATTAGTTTCGAACTGTAATATTTACGATTTATCAAATAAAATTTATTTAAATACAAAACACTTATAAACTAATTGACTTATGATCACTACGTACCCTACAGTTTTGCTATGGAGTTATCGGATGACTCGGCTTATGGAGTCATCCACAATTATTCACAAATAATATATTGACACGTGTCCTACAATAAATACACTTTGCACATGTGTCAATACGTTAAATGATCGACGACTCCATAAGAAAACCATCTAATGACTCCATAAAATTTTTGTACTACCTTATAATGATGTCTAATACATACTCATACTCTTGAATATGAGATAATTAGAACATTATTCGAGCTATGGATAAAACTCCTCACCAACCGGTAATAAACAATGCGTAAGTACACTTAAAAAGAAAACATTGTTTTTGTATATCAGTGTCACACTAAACAATACTACTTAATTAATTACTAGTAGTCAACGTTATCAACAAAAATTGCACTCTTTCACTAAAAAAAATACTACTATAAAATAATCAAATAAGAAAGAAGAGGAAAACACGTAGCAGCCCGAAACACTTTCCTCCCAAATAGCGTACACACATGATAAAATATATATGTCCATGCATTTAGGTTAATAAAGTTCATTAATATTGAGGGAGAGGGAGAGCTTTGTCGCCCTTGTAGTCCTACCCGATTCGATTCTAGATTAGTCGGTTCTCCTGTGGATTCGGAAACCGGAAGGTCCTTGTTAAAAAAAAAATAAAGTCCATTGCTACCTAAGAAAAATATTACACATAAAATTTAATAATAATAATAATAATAATAATAATAATAATAAAATAAATAAAATAAAACTTGAAAAAGCTTGCTTCAACTTCAAGTCTTCAAGTGATAACCGAGATTAAAAGTATATAAAAAAAACCCATTAATTTTACTATAATACTTGTATATATATATATATATATATATATATAATATGAAAATATATAAATATATAAATAAAAATAAATATAAATATGAAGAAGAGATGAAAATTAAAAGATGATACACCAACCCCAAAAGAGATGTAATAAAAACTCCATAGCCCCACCTCCATTAATGCCCTCAAACCATCTCTACACCCTCTGCAATTACTCCTCCTCATCCTCCTCTTCACACCAATTCTCTCTCTCTCTCTCTCTCTCTCTCTCTCTCTCTCTCTCTCTGGCTCTACCATCTTTCCTCATTCTCAATCTTTTGAAATAAATAATAATAATAATTTTAATTTAAAATTGTCATTTTCTTGCTATTTCATATCCCCATATGCATGCCTTTTGAATTCTTCATAAATTCTATATCACAAGAAAGCCACCATCTGCAGTAAACCTTAGCCAGCAGATCTGAGCCTCTCTCTCTCTCTCTCTCTCTCTCTCTCTCTCTGTTTCAGCCTTATAAACCCTAATCATCCATAAGGGCTTTTCAGGAAGAGTAAGTATTATATTATATTTTTTTACCATTTTAATGTTATTTTTTTCTATGCAACTGAATTTTTTTTAATTGTACTGTTTTATTTACTTATCTATTTATTTATTTTTTTGTATGTTATCTTTTCTTGGCAGATAGCAAAAAAAAAAAAAAAAAAAAATTGGATTTTTGGTATATGTGAGCTCAGGTTGAAGAAAATTAGAGCTTAGTGTCAAAGGTTGTCCCAGTTCTCAGAGTCAACTCTTTTAGTTTTCTTTTTTGTCCTAACAAAATCTTGTTAGAAGGTCACAACTTCAAAACTCAAAGCACAAACTTCTAAAAACCATTAAAAGGTCACAACTTTACACCAATTTATAACACAGTACCCCTTTTCACACGATCAGTGTGTCTCGGCCCCCCCTTCCGGATTGGGGTCTTGGCTAGATCACGATGTTATCGGAGTCTCCTATCCCCGACGAGTTTTAGCTTAATATTTCTCTAGGCTTTCGCCTCCTCTTTTGTAACCAAAAAAAAAAAGAAAGAGGAAGAGAAAGTAAAAAAAGTAAAAATAGAGAGAAAAAATAAAAAAAAAAAAGTTTTTCTAGGGTTTTTTGGGTCTTTGTGTGCAGCTTCAAGGGATGTTGATGGGGCTCATTCGAGTGAATTTTCAGGTAATTAACTCTTAATATTATTATTATTATTTTGGTAAATTAATTATTTGGGTTATATTAATTTCAAGAAAGAATGATATTTATGGATAATTATTCCAATTTTTTTTTTTTTTAATATAGCACATTTAATTTTTATCTGCAGTTAATTAGAGGGAGATTTCAGTTCACATTTGGGTTTGAATCTTGATAATTTAATTCTTCAATAATTGAAGAAGATTTTGGTTTCCTTTAACAACAATAATAAAAGCAAAGTATCATTATTTTTTCAATTCAATCTTTATTACTTTGGATAGCAACATTTTCACTACATTTCTAGTCATATATGTGTAATTATATACTAATGAAATGAAGTTACAAATCTTATTTCATCAGTACAATCATATTGTGACACAGGTTACCGGACTCTAGCTGATCCGGATTTTACCGATAGTCTCGATTTTTACGCTTAGTCGCCGGCGAGATTGATATTAAAACGAGCGATGTACCAGCCGAACATTTTCGACAGTCACCATCACCACCACCTTCTCGACATTACTCACAATAAGACCCCGGAAAACGATATGGACCTCATCCGAGACGAAGAATACGAAAGCAAATCGGGCACGGACATTATGGAGGCGCCATCTGGCGACGATCAAGATCCAAATCAACGGCCCAAGAAAAAGAGATACCATCGGCACACGCAGAATCAAATCCAAGAAATGGAGTCGTATGATCGAATAAATCAACAAACTTTCCCTTCTTTTATCTATTGAAAAATATATAACTATGTAAATCATCATCATTTTCAATAGGTTTTTCAACGAGTGCCCTCACCCGGATGACAAGCAACGGAAGGAGCTCGGGCGTCGACTCGGTTTAGAACCTTTACAAGTCAAGTTTTGGTTTCAAAACAAACGTACCCAAATGAAGGTAATGTATTAATTAAATCTATTTATTATAAGTTTCATAATATTTCTAAGGCAAAATTGCAGATAATGACACCTGACTATTAAGTTTTCGCAATTTAATCACTGCATTTTGTACACTTTTCATATGTTTTGTAGATAGAATTGACGCATAAATTTAACTTTTGTTAGATTTTCCGTCTGTACCAAGTCAGCCACATAGACGGTTTCGTCTATGCCAAGTCAGCTCTAATCTAACAGAAGTTAAATTTATGCTTCGATTTGTACATGAAATGTGGTGATTCAAATGCAAATAATTAAGCAAAAAGTGGTGATTGCAATTTTGCAGATTTCTAAAGCTTTTTCTTATTCTTTTTTCTTTTTCCTTCATTATGATTCTTCTTACTTATAATTTCAGGCTCAACACGAACGCCATGAGAACACCCAGCTGAGAAACGAAAACGAGAAGCTCCGGGCCGAAAATATCCGGTACAAAGAAGCTTTAAGCAATGCTACTTGCCCCAGCTGTGGAGGCCCAGCTGCCATAGGTGAGATGTCGTTTGACGAGCAACACCTCCGAATCGAAAATGCTCGATTGAGAGAAGAGGTAATTAAATTAAACACATAAAAAAAAAAATTGTTACTCGTTGAATGTCTATAAAATCAAATTAGATAGTACATTATGCTAAGAAAACTGAACCAAAACAGATTGATAGAATATCGGGTATAGCCGCAAAGTACGTGGGAAAACCG